TTATTTATTGTCTTTTTGAGATAGGGTCTTGCTACGCAGTTCAGGTTGGCCTTGAGCTCACTTTGTAGCACAGGCTGGTCTTGAACTTGCAATGACCCTCCTGCCTCAGCCTCCTGAGTGCTGGGATTATAGGCATGCACCACCACGCCTGGGCCTTCTGACCATCCTGCTCCCCTCCTATCAGTTCCAGGAGAACCTCCGTGACCTGCTGCCCACCCTGCCCAAGGCTGATGACTACTTTCTCCTGCGCTGGCTCCGAGGTGAGAGCACAGGGGCTGGAGGTTAGGGGGAAGGGGTGCTCAGGAGAGGGGGATGGGAGGCCAGGGAAGTGGGCAGTGCTGCAGAGAAGAAAGGAAAAGGCTCTGCATCCACTTGTTCTGGGCTAAAACCTGAGCACAGAGTTTCCACTGAGCCTTAGTTTCTTCATCCGCAAAGTGACGGTGAGTCACTAGGAAGGCAGAGTCGAGGAGAGATTAGAGTTAAAGCCTGGGAAGTTATCACTCAGGTTAACCGGCCCGGCCTTGGTCAGCTATGGCGGAGCCCTGGCTTCAGGACTTGCCTTTGTGACTACCTCCGGTTCCCTGTGCACAGGCTGTTTCACCAACCTAGGAAACCTACTGGGACATTGAGTGGTGACTAGCAAACACTTCAAGAACTGGGTTTAATGCTAGGTGTGGAAGTGCACACCTGTAATTCCAGCACTCAGGAGGCTGAGTCAGGAGGGTCACCATGAGTTCAAGGTCAGTCTGAGCTACATAGTGAAACCCTGTCTCAAAAAAAGGAAAGAAAGAAAGAAAAGAAGAAGAAGTCGATCTGAAAGTAGACACACAGGGTGTAGTTTAAAATGCCTGTGGTCTTCCATAGAGCAGACTTGTGACTGAATCCTAGCTGTATCATGCACTAGCAGTGTAGCTAGGATAACTCCTTCTTTGTCTCTCAGCCTCACCTTCTCTTCTCTGTAATTGGCATAATATTGGTCTTATGTTCAGGGCTCTGTGAGTCAAACAGGAGGTCAGGAGGTCAGAGATGCCACATGAAGGAAGCACCCACCCAGGAGCTGATGCTTCCCTTCTGGTTTGTTCTATCTGGTTTCTTTGTTACGTTTTTCAATAAACTTTTTCTTTCAGTACTAGGAATTTTTTTAGTACTGGGAATTGAACTCAGGACCTTCTGCTTGCTAGGCAGGCACTTGTGCCACTGAGCTATAACCCCAGCCCCAAGTACTAGGAATTGAACCTAGGGCCTTTGCACTGAGCTATAGCCCCAATCCTTTATCATTTTTCTTTAAATTTCGAGATAGGATCTCACTAAATTGCCCAGGCTGCACTGCACCTGCAATCCTCCAGCCTCAGCCTCCCAGAGCACTGGAATTACAGGTGTGTACCACCATGGCTGGTTATTTTTATAAACTTTTAAAGAATAGTTTTAGATTTTCAGAAAAAGTGCAAAGATAGCATAGAAAGGTCTCATACACACTCTACCCAGATTTCCCCCTTTAGAATATACATTTGCATGGTACATTTGTCACAATTAATAAAGCAATGTAGATATAGATGTAGTAGTAGAAGTAGTAGTAGCAGCAGTAGTAGTAATTAAAGCCTATACAGTATATGTAGATTTGAAGTCTTTTGTACCCAGACCCTATTCAGATCCCATCATCTTGTCTCCTTAGGGTTCTCTTGGCAGTAGCGGTTTCCCTTTTTTTTTTTGAAATAAGGGAACACAGTGTCCCTGCCCAGGCTATGAAGCCCCTTAACAGAGTGAGTGTGTCCTAGTTCATTTTTCATCACCATGACAAAATACCTGAAGTAAGCCAGGTGTGGTGGGGCATCCTGTGATCCCAGCACTCGGGAGGCTGAGGCAGGAAGGCTGCGATGAGTTTGAGACCAGGCAGGGCTACACGGTGAGTTCAAGGCTAGCCTGGACTACAAAGTGAGACCTTGTCTTAAACAATGACAACAAAAACAAACATAACCCAAGAAGCAAACAAACAAAAATAATTGAGTGTAGGTTAAAAAAAAAAAAAAAAAAAGTTTTATTTAGCTCATCATTCTGGAGGTCAAGGACCTGCATCTGGTGACGGTGTTCACCAGGTGGCACAGGGCATCACATAGCAAGAGGCAAGGACATCATCTATGTCTCTCCCGGCCTCTCTCCTGGTCATGGGGACTCCACCTTCGTGATCTCGTCTGAGCCCAATCGCCTCCCTCTGCACGCATAATCAGAGTAAGTTTCCACCCTCTTAATACCTCGGGCGGGGGTTAAGTTTCAACCCATGGAACGTTGGGGCACTCACTCGAACCACAGCATAGGTCTTTCTGGGCTTAGAAAAGTGCATCTTTGATAGAGAAGTGCGATTGCAGATACCTTAGGTTGCCGGGTCATGGAAAAGGTAGACAGGGGAACTTCCCCTTCATGCCGTGGGTGACAGGACCTGCTGACACGGCCCCATCCACGTCAGTGGCAGCTCCGCCGCTCCTTGCCTCACCAACTCAAGCACAGGCACAAGCTTAAAGAAAGTTGCTCCTCAGGCCTGAGGAGCAGGAGCCTTCCCTGGGCCTCCTGCCAAAGCCCCCTCCCTCTGTGTTGCTCTCCATCCTGCATCCGGGTTCCTCTCTCCACTCAGAGGCCAGCTCCATAAATCAATGACTGTGCCTTCCCAGCCCCTCAGCCTGGCATGTGGTGGGTGCTACCAAAAACTCTATCCTCATATGCCACCGTCAGGGCCCAGACCCCCGTCCATCCATAGCATGAGAGACCACACTCTGGTTCCTAACAGATAAATCTATAGATACTAAGGAGATTTTTTAAAAACATCCAATAAAAAATATTATGAACACGTATGTGCTAATAAATTTGAAACCCCAAATTAAACTGACGTATTCCTAGAAAAATATATGCAAGACTGCAAGACCTTGACAGGCTAGGGATGTAGCTCAGTGGTAGAGCACTTGCTTAGCATGGGCAAAGCCTTGGATTGAATTCCCCGTACTGCCAAAAAAAAAAAAGAAAGAAAGAAAGAAAAAGAAAAGACTATAAGATCTTGAAAAGAAAGTCTCAAAAAAGCAAAAAAGGGGTGGGGATTTAGCTCAGCAGCACAGATCCTGCCTGGCAAGTGCGAGGGCATGAGTTTTATTCCCAGTACCGGGAAAAAAAAAAAAAAAAAAAAAAAAAAAATCAAAAGAGCAATAAATATTAAAGAAATTGAAATGGTAGTAAGAACCTCCCTTCTCCCAACACTTCGACCCCAATGGCTTTACAGATGAATTCCTCCAAAGTGTTAAGACCAACTAATTGCTATCTTATACAAGCTGTTCAAATTTCTTTTTTTTTGTACCAGGAATCAAACTCAGAACCCCATGCTTGCAAGGCAGGCACTGTGCCTATGAGCTGTATCCCTGGCCCATCAAATTTCTTTAGTTTCTTTTTTTTTTCTTTGTTTGTTTGGTTTTTTTTTTTTTTGTCTTTTTGAGACAGGTTCTCGCTATGCTGTTCAGGCTGGCCTTGAGCTCACTTTGTAGCCCAGGCTGGTCTTGAACTCACAACCATCCTCCTGCCTCAGCCTCCCTGAGTGCTGAGATTACAGGCATGCACCACCATGTCCGGGCAAATTTCTTTAGGATAGAATGAAAGTTATCTTAAAAGACTTGGGTAAGTTTCATTATTCCAAAGACAGATCAGGACAATAAAAGAGCTGGATGGGAGAAAAAAAAAAAGAAAAGTCTAGACCTGTTTTACTTAGTGATATGGATGTAAAGAAATCTAAATAAAGTATTATATAATAGAATCCAGCAGTGTAATCAAGTTATGTAGTGTGATCAAAGAGAGTTTATCTGGGTGTGCAAGAATAACTCAACATTAGAAAATCTGTCAGTATCATTTAAATCATTAATAGAGTTAATTAACAATTATGTGGCTATCTCAGTCAAGGCAGAAAAAGCATTTGTAAAGGTTCAAGCCCTATTTATAGGATAAAACAAAAATCTTAGCAAAGTGCAAATAGAAAGGAATTTCCGTGGTTTGGTAGTGGTTATATAGCAAAAATCACCTAACAAATGTTACAGCTAAAAAGAAATTTTAGACGCATTTTTATTAAGATCAAGAACAAGGAAAAGATGACATCAATCAACATTACAATATTTTTTGGGTACCAGGAATCGAACTCAGGACCTTGTGCTTGCCAGGCAGGTGCTTGTGCCACTGAGCTATATCCTTGGCAACATTACAATTTAAACATAGAACTAGAGCCCTTTGCCCATGCCATAAGAAAAGAGCAGTACAAACAGGAGAAAGGAAATCTTTCCTCAAAAAGTGACAAAATCCATAGAAAAACTAAAGAGAAAGAGAACTAAACAGAAAGCTCACTGATATTGCCAGATACAAAATCTATAGGATTTTTCTTTGCAGCAGAATCTAACTGTAAAATAGACTGAAAAAATGGATATTATTCAAAGGATCAACAGAGCCTATAAATTCCCAAAAGGTTAACCTAAAACACAGAAAAGTCTTAAAATCACTGTTCAACTTGGCAGCCTGTAGTCACATGTAACTATTTAAATTAAATTAAATTAAAACTTCAGGTCCACGGTCACATGAAGCATCTTTCAATTGCTCAGAGCCATAGACAGCTAATGGCTACCACACTAAGCAGCTCAGAGATACTGGACACACTGACACACAAAGTGAAAGATCAGCCAATAAACTTGATGGCTTATCCTCAAATATTTGCAGAGATGACCCATTGACAAGCAGTTACATATATCTGGGACTGGAATCATTGTGAGGCAGATTTGGACTCAAACTGCTAAAGAATGGAATGGGCTGCCTGCTTAGATAGTGAACTTCCTGACAGAGGAGGTAATCAAGGCTAAGCTGGTGGCCTCAATGATTATTTCTAGAGTGGCTCATGATCAGGGCAGAGGGAGGCTCACTAAGCATCTCAGGTTCTTTGCACTTGAAAAATCTCTAGTCTTGCATGTCATTGTAGGCTCATCAATGAGCAAATTTGACAGTGAACCAGTAATATTAGGAATAGTCATAGCACTTCTAAAATAGAGTAGAGCCAGATGTAGTTGTACATGCCTGTAGTCCCAGCTACTCAGGAGGCTGAGGCAGGAGGATCACTTGAAGTTTGAGCCCAAGTTGGGCAACATAGCAAGACCACATCTCCAAAATTATATAAAATAAGGAATAACATTTTCAATTAAAGTATATGTCTTCAAAATAAGTAATCACAGTAGCTACTGTTTGTTGAGAACTTACTATGGTCCATTTACTATCCCAAGTATTTTATATATTCCATGTTGTCCTTTGAACACTGCTAAAGATAGAATTCCCATTTCGTATATTTTTAAAAACTAAGATCCAGAGAAGGTAAGTGACTCATTTAAGGTTGCACAGGAAATAAAAAAGCAAAACTACATTTCAAGCCCAAATCCATCTGATTCCAAGTCCCATGCTCTCAGCATCCCAACCCTGAGGAAGTCTCCACTCTCAAATATTACAGGCTAGGACAGCCTCTAGAATGAACAGTTTCAAAGATCTGGGAACAAAAATCCAGGCCTTCCAAAGTCTTCTAGAGGAGTAAAGATCTTTGATTAAAAAAAAAAAAAAATCCATGCCGTGCACAGTGGCAAATGCCTGCAATCCCAGCATCAGGAGGCTGAGGCAGGAGGATCATTGCAAGTTCGAGACCAGCCTGGTTTACAAAGTGAGCTCAAGGCCAGCCTGAACAACATAGCAAGACCTTGTCTCAAAAAGACAAAAAGAAAAATTCCAGACTACCCCCAGTGTATTCTTGTGGTGTCAGAAAGAGACTGGGGGCCCTTACTAAGCCCCCCACAAGGTTTCAGGGAATGACTCACTCCACCTTTGGCCTCAACCCTCCTCTTCCATCATCTTCTTGCAGCTCGGAACTTTGACCTGCAGAAATCCGAGGGCATGCTCCGGAAGGTGAGGCCCCACGATCGCCTCCTACACCCTAGACCCTGGGTAACAGTGACAAAAGGGCCCATTCTCTGTGTCTTCTTCCTTCTTCCTGGGGGCCCCTTCCTGGGTCAGACCCAGGGGCTTCCTGGAGCACTCCGCCTGGGGTTCTCTGGCAGCATTGTGGTGGCTGCAGGCCCCGGGACCTGCCCTGTGTTCCCGGATACCTGTAGAGGCCTTTGGGGAGGGAGGGTTCAGGCCCCACTGTGTCTCTATAGCATGTGGAGTTCCGGAAGCAACTGGACCTGGACAACATTCTTGCCTGGCAGCCCTCAGAGGTGAGCCCACGGAGCACCCCAGACCACCTGATGTCCCTTCTTTTCCCCCTCTCCACCTGATGAATTAGGGACCTGCCTAGTGGGCTGGTCTGAGTCAGAACTGACCCATGTGCCCAGGTGGTCCAGCTGTATGACTCGGGTGGCCTGTGTGGCTATGACTATGAAGGCTGCCCCACCTGGTTCGACATCATTGGGACCCTGGACCCCAAGGGCCTCCTCCTATCAGCCTCTAAGCAGGAGCTCATCCGGAAGCGAGTCAAGGTCTGCGAGCTGCTTTCGCACGAGTGTGAGCTGCAGACTCAGAAGGTGAGTGAGTGACTGACAGCATGGTGAGGTGCACCACAGACCTGGTCCATCTGCCCTGCCCGCGCACCTAGCCCCAGCTCGCAGCTCTCAGGGCTCCGGTGGAAAGTGGCCTTCCCCTGCCACCACCCCTCCCTGTACATCTTAATGTATGCATGGCACTCTCCGCTGCCATTGAGCCGGGGGTCACCAGAGCCCTTTCCCGTCTCCCTGAGCCACTGATCTTGGGAGCAGGAAAAGCTCTGGTCCCTGGAGACCCTGGGAATGGCAGACACTCAGCTTTGGTATGGAAAACATAACCCACCATTGTAAATCGCATAACCGTATACGTTGATGGACAATCCATTACCCTGGGCTTCCCTGAAAAAACAGTGAGCCTGGAATTAGGTGCACGCAGTGACGTTTTAGGCATGCACCACCATGCCCAGCAGGATGGCTGATGTTACAGGGTCGATACAACATCTTCTCCTTCATGGATGGTTCCACTAGGAGCTGATAATTATGGAGATTATGATACTAATATAATCTGCTAATATTTGTCAGGGATCAGCCATGCCCCCAGCACTGGGCTTTTCGTGCATCATTTATTGAATTATCATAGCAATTCCATCAGAACCTAGAATTATTCCCATTTTACAAAGAAAGAAAGTAAGGCTCAGAAAGGTTAAAATCCTGCTCCTTGCCACACAGCCTGCCAAGAGCATGGCTCTGGCTCGAACACACTTATGAGACTACAGAACAGTAAATATAGTACAAGCTGGGCATGGTGGCACATGCCTGTAATCCCAGCACTCCTGAGGCTGAGGCAGCAGGATTTTTGTGAGTTTGAGGCCAGCCTAGGCTACAAAGTGAGCTCAAGGCCAGCCTGAACTGCATAGTGAGACCCTGTCTCAAAAAGACAAAAAAAAAACAAAAAAAACAAAAAAAAAACAATAAAGTACATATAGTACAGTCAACTATTCCTATCTGTGGGTTCTGCATCTGCAGATTGAACCAACTATGGATAGAAAATATTCAGGAAAAATGGATCTGTGCTGAGCATACAGATTTTTGTCTTGTCATCGGTCCCTCAACAATACACTGTCACAACTATTTACACAGCATTTGCACTGTATTACTCTCATAAGTAATCTGGAGATGATGAGGTGCATGGGAGGCTGTTCATAGGTTATATGCAAATGCTCTGCCTTGTATTTAAGGGATTTGCACTTCTATAGATTTTGTTATCTGTGAGAGGTCTTGGAACCAACCCTCCGTGCATACCAAGGGACAACTATATCCTGTTATACATAAAGATGGCCAGTGATCTAGGCATAGTGACACATGCCTATAATTCCAGCACTCTGGGAGGTGGAGGCAGGAGGATTATGAGTTCAAGCCCAGCCTGGACAATTTAGTAAGACCCTCTTTGAAATTAAAAAAGAAAAGGGTTATGCATGTAGCACAGTGAGTGTGAAGACCCTGGGTTCAATCTCTAGTACCACTACCACCACCAAAAAAAAAAAAAAAAAAGCACAGTGAGTAATGTATTTAATTATGTAGTTAACTTCACCCAGGAAATAGTGCTGGGCAAACTATGATAACGCACTAGGAATCTACAGACTGCTCTGGACTCAGAGGCAGCATCCTCTCAGAGCCTAAATGGGCTCCCTCTGTTTGGGAAATGACATAAGCTGCTACGTGACCAGCAGAGGAGTGGGAGCAGTGCCTGAGTCTCTCTGGCCAGGACCTCGGGAACCTTGGTTTGAGCAGTCTACCTGCTGTATTCCACACAGCTGGGCAGAAAGATCGAGAAGATGCTGATGGTGTTTGACATGGAGGGGCTGAGCCTGAAACACCTGTGGAAGCCAGCCGTGGAGGTCTACCAGCAGGTAAGTCAGGCACCTGGCTCAGGGCTGGAACAGGAATCCCACCCCCACCCCACACCAGCTTTTGTGGCCTATGGAAAAGAGAGGGCACCACAGACCAGTCAGCCATGCTAGCCTGGGGTCCACTCATCCCCCAAAGAGAAAGAGGAGCCAGAGGAACTCAGAGGAGGGCACATATGCTCTGCTCTGCTGGTGGGAAAGTGGGGTGGGCTGGGGCTGGGGCTCTTGTCTCAGTAGCATCAGAATCCACAGAAGCCACAGAAGCTGGGCACAGCGGCACCTGCCTGTACTCCCTGCACTCTGGGAGGCTGAAACAGAAAGATCACAAGTTTAAGCCCAGCCTGGGCAACTTAAGTGACTTAGGGAGACCCTGTCTCAAAATTTTAAAAAATAAAATTTAAAGGTAGGGAGCTGTATCTCAGTGCAAGGACTCTGGTTCAATCCCTGGTATCCTCCCACCCCAGAAAATAAATAAATAAATCAGAACCAAAACAAAGCAAAACAAAAAGCCTCAGAAATCCAGGGCCGCGTGAGTTCTGGAGAATGACGACAGCCAGCCTCCTCTTGACTTTACAGTTTTTTGCCATCCTGGAAGCAAATTATCCTGAGACGGTGAAGAACTTAATTGTTGTTCGAGGTGAGCCCATGGCCTGCATGACCCCCGGGGGAGGCTTGGGTGGGGGGACACTGGGTAAGCCTTGGAGCCCAGGGCTTCTCACACCACCCTTGGTGAAGAACTGGGTTTTCATTTGTTCGGATTTGGTTTGTGTTTTTAGTTCCAGTCCTTGGCAGACTGCTGCTGTGCAATGTATGGTATACAGAACCTCGCATGGGCATGTTGCAGTAATGTGGAATAACCCCTACATTTCTAAATGGCCACTTATTTCAGCATGGACGAGTGACAGGCAGTCCGTGGGCCGCATGGTTGATGAGCACCCTTTGAGCAGGAGTGGTCTCCATCTTGGGTGGCCATGTAGTGAGGGGCTGCCCCATGTGCCCTGGAGTTACACAATCTGGCTTCAAACCTAGCTAACTCTATGGCTTTCAGTGAGTCTATTTTCCCTCACTGAGCCTCGGTTTTCCCATTCTGTGAAGTGGAGACACACAGTCCCCACAGAGGAGCTATGAGGTTAAATGAGATGGTCTCTGAAGGGGTGGCACAGAGCTGGACCCACAGAAAGTGCCCAGTGAGCAGAGTGCTTCACAGTGGGATGGGTCCAAAGCAAACCCCCGTCTGCGTGCACCCAAGAAGGCCCCAAGGACACCTGGGAAAATCTTGAGTGTGAAAAGGAAGCGGTACCATTGGGAAATCAACATTGCCGACACTATACCCAGCTTGGGTCCAGCACCTTAAAACGTGAAGGGATACAGCTATTTATTGAGAGCCAGGCATTGTACTGATAGTGACACATACATTAGGTTATCATCATTTTATATTCTATTTTATTTTTTGGTTTTTTGAGACAGGGTCTCACTATGTAGTTACGGCTGCACTTGAACTCACTGCATAGCCCAGGCTGGTCTCAAACTCACAGCAACCCTCCAGCCTCAGCCTCCTGAATGCTGTAGTTACAGGCGTGCACCACCATGCTTGGCTTCCATTTCATATTTTCGCATTAATAGCACTAAGACGCAAAGAGGATGAGTCACTAGCTGAAGGTCGCACAGCAGGGAATGGCAGAAGACAGATCTAACACCTATCCACCCCATGCGTGTGGCCACAGCTCTATACACCCAAACTCTACTTGTCCAACTGCCTGAGGGAACTTCATGTGTTTCAGCGCCTAAGCTTTTTCCAGTAGCCTTCAACTTGGTCAAGTCGTTCATGGGTGAGGAAACGCGCAAGAAGATAGTGATTCTGGGAGGTGAGTGACTTGGCCTCCCGGCAAAGCCCATCCCTCTGTCCACCTAGCAGACAGAGGTCAATGCTAAAGGCCCCACTTTGCCTGTCTCATGCTCTTCACTAATTACTAACCCTGATCTAACCCTAGCAGCTTCAAGGGCGAGGCTTCCGGTCCTAGAGCAGGGCCTGGAAGCCACATAAAGTTCTTGAGTACTCTTAGGAGTGGAAACCCAGGGTAGCAAGCCGGAGACATCAGATCACCTCCAAGGCCCCCTGTTGATCTCCTTGAGCTCCCTGGAGGCCCCTTTGCTCCCACACAGACAACTGGAAGCAGGAGCTGACAAAGTTCATCAGCCCTGACCAGCTGCCCGTGGAGTTTGGGGGTACCATGACCGACCCCGATGGCAACCCCAAGTGCCTGACCAAGGTACGGGAGCCCAGAGGACAGGCAGGGAGGGGAGATGGCCACAGCCCGGTTCCTCCCTCACCCCGCGCCACCCACAGATCAACTATGGGGGCGAGGTACCCAGGACCTACTACCTGCGAGAGCAGGTGAGGATGCAGTACGACCACAAGGTGTCTGTGAGCCGCGGCTCCTCCCAGCAGGTGGAGAGCGAGATCCTGTTCCCGGGCTGTGTGCTCAGGTAGGGGCAGCGGCTGCCCACCCCTGGCACAGCTGGAGGATGGCACACCAGAGCCTAGGCAGGAGGTCACTGGGGTTGTGTCTGCTGCAGGTGGCAGTTTGCATCGGACGGTGGGGATATCGGCTTTGGGGTTTTCCTGAAGACGAAGATAGGGGAGCGGCAGAGAGCTGGGGAGATGACGGAGGTGCTGCCCAGCCAGCGCTACAATGCCCACATGGTGCCGGAGGACGGGAGCCTCACCTGCCTCAAGGCCGGCGTCTGTAAGAGCTGCACGGTTTGCTGGAGTTGTTTCCCTCTCAGGACAGAGAAGAGCTGGCTGCCTCTTGCCTGTCCAGCAGCTCCATGTGCCTTCTACTTCCAACTCTCAGGGGTCATGTAGGGGATGGGATGTGCTCTCAACACCATGGGCTCCAGGGGGGTTGGCTACAGGGTCTTGGATCGGAAGAGTGGCCCCTGTGGGTGGGCACAAAGGCAGAGACACATCGCCAAGGAAGAGCCAGGGGTTCAGAGCCCAGGGCTGTGGGCTCAGCTCCTGGGAACCCCTCACACCAAGCTCATCAGCTCAAGACAGGGAAGTAAACAGCACAGGCTTAGTGTCAGAGTTTCCAGTTGCATGGCTCACGCCACAGCCCGAACCCTAAAGAGATGCCCCTCCTAGCATTCATCATCTGTCCCCAGGCCTCTCAGGCCACAGCAATTTGGTCAGTTTCAGCAGAAGCAGCATTGCCCAGTGTCTGTCTGTTTCCCACTGTTATAGCAAAATGCCAGAGATATTCAGTGCATAAAGAGAAGAAGTTTATTTTGGCCCAGTACTAGAGGTTCCAGTCCACGAGCAAATGGCCCCATTGGTTTGGGGCCTGTGGTGAGGCAGCACATTATGGCTGTTATATGTGGCAGAGCAAAATATTTACTTTATTTTATTTTAATTTTTAGTTTTTTGAGATAGAGTCTCACTATGCTGTTAAGGCTGGCCTTGAGCTCACTTTGTAGCCCAGGCTGGTCTTGAAATTGCAACAGTCCTCCTGCCTCAGCCTCCTGAGTGCTGGGATTACAGGCATGAACCATCATGCCTGGCCAAAACATTTACTTTATAAGTTATGGAACGAAAGGGAGGAGGAAGGGCTAAGGCCCCACAGTTCCCTTCGAGGCATACCTCCAGTGACCTAAGGATATCCCACACGGCCCCATTTCTTAAAGACTTCACCATCTCCCAACAGCACTACTTTGGGTCTCAAACCTTTAGCATAAAGGCCTTTGGGGGACATTCAAAATCCAGACTCTAGCACCCAGGAACACCACGGATCTTCCACCTGTATAGGGAGCAGAGTGAGGAGATGGGGAACCCAAGGTCAGTTTCCTGTGCCAAAGGAAATCACATGCCAAAGTTGACACATTATCTAGCCCAGCTTGTGGAAGGGGAGAAATAGGAGAGTAGAGATAGAGGAGTCCAGGAAACTCACTGTGTCCCAGAGCTTGCAAGAGACCTTGCCTCTATGGAAAACACCATCTATCAGCTGGGAAACTGGCTTATGTAGCTCACTGCTTTCCTCTGGAGGAAGTGAGGCTGCCTTCTGGATTGGGACAGTGTGATAAGGGAATTCCAACCCCTCTCTTCCCTTGCTCTGTGGTTACTGGAAAGTCATCATTTGGATAAGCCTCTTCTTTCTCATCTCTACAGTGGGTGTATTAGTCAGCTTCCTGTCACTGTAACAAAATACCTGAGAAAATTAACTTATAAACAGAAAAGGTTTCTTTGGTTCATGGGCCTATAGGTTCCAGTCTAAGATCCAATGGCCCCATTACACTGCCTTTGGTGAGAGCAGCACATCATGGTGGGAGAACATGATGGAGAAAAACTCACTTATGCCTCCAAGTCAGGAAGCAAAAAGAAAAAGAAAGGAAAACACTTGGGGTTCCAAAATCCGCTGCAAAGGCACGTCTCCAATGACCTAAGGACCTCCCAAAAGACCACCTCCTAAAGAGTCCTCCTCCTCCCAGTAGTGCCACTTTTGGACACCATACCTTTAACACAAGGGCCTTTGGGGGATGCTTATCCCAACTGTAGCAGTGGGGATGTTGTCCTCTGCCTATGAGTCATGGCAGGCTGCTATGAAGCCCACCACTTAGAAGGGGCCACACCCCGGCACGCTGCTGGGTCTCACGATCCTGGCTCAGCACTGGCACCCAGGAAGTGGGGTGTGAGCAGTGGACTCAGGCTGGGCCGTGCTGACCCTCAGACCCACCCATAGCCCTAGTTAGCCCATTCCCAAGGGCTGACTAGCTTGGTTCTGGGCTCGCTCTACTGATCATCTCTCTGTCCTCGCAGATGTCCTGCGCTTTGACAACACCTACAGCCTGATGTATGCCAAGAAAGTCAGCTACAGTGTGGAGGTGCTGCTCCCTGACAAGGCCTCTGAGGAGAAGCTGCAGGGTCTCAGGGCAACGAGACCCTCCCCAGCGCAATGAGGACCCTGGCCACCTCTGCACCTGCTGCCTCCAACCCCTTTGCAGCCCCTTGTCTGCCCCCTGCCCTCCGGGTGGCACTAAAGGTGGCTACAGAGAACCACCTACCCTGCATCACCATCTTAACCACTATATGCCCCCTTGGCACAGTGGCTGAGCAGGAATGGGGCCAACCAATGCTTAGGTCACCCCGAAGATTCTAAGGGGCACTTCCTCCCCTGTCCTTAGAGAATGGGAATGACAACATTGAGGGGGACCCTGTGTTTACAGAGAAAGGTTTCTGCCTGCAGGAGCTGCCTTTGGGTCCCTCTGACAAGGCCTACTTATCCCAGGATTGACCTGTGCCTGGTATCCCAGTTTGGGGTGCCTGGTATCCCCAGGCCCTGCAGAGACCCCAGCTTTGGGCCTGAGGAGCAGAGAAGCCCCATTCTGTGCACACAGAGGGTCAGAATGGATGAGTAGAGTCATCTGAGGCATCTGGTGGGACATGGGGCAAGACAAGGGTCCCAGTTCCAGCTGGGCATCGAGGCCTCTCCAAGCTTGTTCTGCTCCCTGTGGAGGGGAAAAGCAGAAACGGGGTGCAGGACCAGGCGGCAATGCCATCACAGCACGTCCAGCCTTACAAAGCTGAGGGGGCAAAGACAGTCTCCAGTGGCCCCCTCCCTCCACACCGCTGGGGGCCTGCTGAGGCTCAGCCGGGCTTCTCCTCCTCCTGAGTGAGGCCAGGACTGACACAGAGCTACAGAGAAGGGCCCAGGGCCGGGATGCAGCGTGTGAGCTGTCGCTTGGAGTGCTCGTGCTGGACTCTGACCTGATTCCTGGAGAAATGTGGAGCTTTTCCTCCATCTCTGTCTCCCTGGGAGAGTGGAAGGTCTGGGCCACACGACCCAGTAGCTGGCTAGTAACGGCTTCTGCACATGGTTTCTCCCAGGTTGGTCCTCCTGGGGCCCACAGCCCACATTCAGGGTGACCATCGCCTGTTCTTCAGGGTGGACTGTACCAAACAGGGCAGGAATGCACCACGGAAGTCACCAAGTCCGAGCCGATAGGGTTGACTCCAGCACCTGGGCCTGGGCGCCCAGGCCACGCTGCCCTGCGTCTCCCCACTCTGCCCCCCGGCTGGACCAGGACAGTGGCCACCATTATCTCAAAAGGCTTGCGTTCTGCCAGGTGGCTCAGCTCCCAGCTCAGCTTCATTAATCCTGCCTACGCTGTTTGTCCTGCCCTAGTGTGCCAAAGGGCAAGAGTCCAGTCCTCCACGCTGGGAGTGAGGGGTCAGACGTCCCTGTAAAAGAGGTCTTTGCCTCAAAGTGCCGGCACTCTCTCTGCCAAAGACCCCTCCCGGAGGCCAGAACCTCAGTGCACACCTCCTGTCCAGGGGCTTCGAAAGTAGGAGGCCAAGCTCCAGCCACTTTCTGCTTCTGGATTCTGGGGTTTCTTTTTTTTTTTTTTTTTTCTAGTTAATAGGTGCTTGATGCATTTTAGAGGAGAAATGATGAGGCTTGGGAAGATAGGAGGGTCTTCTAGACAGATGTGCAACCCTTGGGACAGCTGCATTGTTCAGTTCAGTGTCTGAGCCGGAGGTCTGCTGCCAGAGAAAACACACTCGGCACCTAAAACCATCCACGAAACATTCTGGTCTACCCAGGGTTGAAGCAGACAGGCAAGAGAAGCAGAAGCGGTTGCTCTGGCTCCAAGGACGGCCCCTGGGCTGTCAAGCAAGAACCACAAGACATCCTCGAGTCGAAGGCCTGCCCGTGTTTGAGATGTGACGCATTTCCACCACCCCATTGCACCGTGTGCCCGCTCTCCCTGCTGCCTCTCCAGAGGCACGTGGGCTTCCCAGGGCTATTTTCCCGCACTCTTTTCCAGACTGGAGGGAGCAGGGTCTTCTGGGCTTGGGAGGAACCTCTCCTTGCTTTTCCTTAGCCCACGTGTTGCCGTGACAGGGACTTGAAACCCCTCGGCTCAGCCTTCCCTTCACCCCTAGCCTAAAACCAGGTTTCTGGACTTGAACCCTGACCTTTGCCCTTCTAACCACCTGCGGCCAATTTTGTGTCAATCTAACCTCAACCGGTTTCCTGGCAGGTCACAAAGATTGCTCTGGTTACCTGAGGCTCTGAACACAGACAATAGTCACAGATATGGTTCGCCTGGGGGAGAGGGCAAGGAACAAGGTGCTGGGCAGTGAGCACAGTGGTCACCTTCAGAGGTGACAGTAGAATTTCCCACCTGCCCAAGGAGGCAGGGACTCATTGAGAGTTCAGCAGGAATATGTTCTCAGCATAGACCATTCTAAGTTTTTTTTCTTTTGGTACAGGAGACTAAAACCAGGACCTGTGCACGGAGCTGCATCCCCAGCCCTTTGTCTATTTTTAATTTTGAGACAAGGTCTCACTAAGTCATCACTGTTTCCCAGGCTAGGCTTTTGGGGTTTTTTTGTTTTTTTTTTTTCCGGTACCGGGAATTGAACTCATGACCTCGCGCTTGCCAGGCAGCCACTGTGCCACTGAGCTAAATCCCCAGCCCCCATCCCAGGCTAGGCTTGAGCATACGATCTTCTTGCCTCAGCCTCCCAGAGTGCTGGGATTACAAGCATGTGCCATAATGCCCACCCACTCTTAATTTTTAACACCATCGTTTTTACAACTGACAAGGAAGAAAAGAAGGAGAATTTGCTCAGAGAGGGGCACTTGCTTGCCCAAAATTCATTTCTTCATTTACCCATTCATTCTTCAACATTTATTAAGTACCTGCCTACCATCACGCACTGCAGACCCCAAGGACATAAGAGCGCTGGGATGATCCAACTTTGCTAATGGGAAGCTGGCCCACACTGAGGGAGGCTGAACTGACTAAAATGATCAAATGCACTCAACTAGCCAGATGTGGTGGTGCACGCCTTTAATCTCAGCAGTCAGGAGGCTGAGGTAGCAGGATTGCTGCAAGTTCAGCCTCGGCTACATAGTGAGTTCAAGGTCAGCTTGGACTGCATAGTGAGACCCTGTCAAAAACAACATCAGTACAAATGTATCAGCTATCACCATGCGTATTTTGGGGGCAGTAGCTGAATTCTGGGGGAGTATCCAGCTAAGAAACCAGGCGAGGGTATCAAATGAGCTTTGCCTCAGAAAGTGACCCTTGAAGGGAGAGCTAAAGATGTGTGGAGGTGACCAGGCGGAGCAGTGAGCCTTGCAGACTGAGGAATGGGGTGTGGGTGGCCAGGGAATGTTTGTGGCTGTAGGGGTGACATATAAAAGGGCTCTCCTGGCCCTGGGTGACACTGGTAACAACTCCCTGGCATTTGCTAATCTTCATAAACAACTGTGCACACGTTACATAGATCTTAATAAAACCACATTATAATCCAGGTTACAAAACAGCTTTGTTGTTTGTCAGGAAAAAATGACAACATTTTAGCAGGAGGCCGCAGATCTAAATTCTTGCTTACTATGAGGTGCTGGAAATGCTAAAGCCTCACCTATCCACAGAATAGAAATGAGACCTTCCCTTTCTAGCCCATTTCCTCTCAGAACTACCCCCAATATTTGGAGGATGTAGACTGGGGTATGGAAGGGTATTTTTATAGCAGTTGGAAAAGCTCCCCTATTCCCCAAGTCTCCAGCCTAGCCCAGTTCACCTTCCAAGGAATCCAACCCAGGACACAGCTGTGGAAGTCATTGGTGCCCAGAGCAGTCTTCAGGAGAGCTGCACAGCATAGCACTCTACAGTTTACACAGCCTGTTTCTCTATCTTTTCACATAACCCTGCAGCAGACAGGGATTGTAGCCCCATCTTACAGGCCAGGAAGCTGAGCCTCAGCGGTGTCCCCTGCTCTGCATCTCAGGAGGAGGCTGAGGTGGGCACATGGGTCCCTGATAGGAAAGGCTGGTTGGGGGCACAAGGTAGGACAGAGTGAGGTGTGAGGTTCCTGGGGTGGAGGGAAGGCACAGAGTCTGGAGAAGTTCCCCTGACATTTGTGCTTCTCGGTGTCATGTGACAGTGCTGGGTCGCTCCTGGTCACCTTCTGTGTACCAGGCCCAAGCTGAGGCAGGAAGCATCATCCCCAGCTTACAAATGAGGAGAGCAAGGCACTGGGCAGGAAGTAACAGGAAGTGTCCTGCCCCGTTACTCAGCAGAAAAGGGAGGAGGTAAGATGTGAACTTTAGTCTGTCTATCCAGTGGAAGTGGAGAGAGGTTAGGCTTGGTAGATTCACAGGAAGTTGCTTGACCAACTTGGAACCTTAGAGATGCCCAGGCGGTGTGGAGACCTCTCCCTTCAGCCACCAGGGGTCAGTGTTGGACAAGCCACCCCCACCAGCCTACAAGGAAGATAAATTCCCTAGGGCCTCTTTGCATGCATCCTACTTAGGGAAAGTCCCCTTTACAAGTGAAGAGACAAAATTTACCAGGGTCAGGCCGTCTGAGGTGACTCAAAGTGGCACAAAGAGGTGGTTCTCATTGTTGCAAAGAGTACTAAAAGATATTCTAGACAGAGAAAAGTGTGACTGCAGTTTTAAGAACAACAGTAGAAAGGAACCATCAAGAAGAGCAAGCAATTAAACAGGTAGAAAAAGGCAGGAAACCAACACAAGTAAATAACATAACAATGATAAGTCACCACATATCGGTTATAACCATAAATGTAAATGGCTTCAATTCACCAGTCAAAAGAAACAGACTGGCAGAATGGATTAAGAAACAAAATCCAACGATATGCTGTATACAAGAAACACATTTTACTCAAAAGGAAATCCATAGACTGAACATCAAAGGGTGGAAAACAATCCTCGGTGCAACAGGAACCCAGAAAAAAGCAGGGGTCACTATTATGTTTGCAGACAATGTAAACTTCAAACCAACAACAATCAAAAGAGATAAAGAA